TAACCCTAAGTCCAAGACGGTGGAACTGCACATGCGCCGAAAGGCTCGATAGCACGTTTCAATAGGTAGCTCAACTCGTCAGAACACCGGCAAGAACTTGTAAATATTCAGGGCAGCACGGCAAATTGCTAAGGCACGGCGGCTTTTGCCGTCGATGCCGTCGATAAATTCGATCTCTGGTCAAAACTATGATCTCTTTCTTAACAGTAATATCCAAATAATCTGATCATTCCCGATAGATTGTTCTGTAAGGAGATACAACTCTTTCCTCTTTTTCTTCTGGACACCTATACTCACGTCAGCAAACTTGCTCTGGGATTGCTCTTCTGACTTATTAGGTGGGCTCTCCTCACCACTTTCTGGCATAGCTTCAGCATCATCAGGCCTTGGTGAAAAAAAATCACATCAAATTCACCTGTTCTGCTGTAGTTTTCAAAGACATTTATTTATTTAACTCATGTCAATAATATTATTATAATGTTTTCAAACTTCCGATACAACCCTGTTGATTATTATTGACACCCCCCCCCCCAGGGACATGAAAAATGTCCCCACAAGCTAAAAAGTCCCCACAATGTGGTGAATACTCCCCCCCCCCCACCACACACATACACACACACACACCAGTATCATCATTTTATCACTAGGCTAAACTCACCCACCGTCCAAGTCAATTGTTACAAATTCAGGGCCATAGATGTCAATGGAAGTTTCCATTTCCATTTCGGTGGTGATAGGGCAAGGGATGTCGACCAAAATGCTTTCCAGTTCCATTTTACTGTTGGAAATATTTCACACATTTACTGTTGGAAAACATGCCTTCTTTATCTCTCTCACACACAAAAAAACACTGCAAAAAACCCAAGACAGGCAGGTTTTCTCAGCCAGTTCTTGGTCATTATAGTTCCAACATTTCATTACTAGTTCAAAAACATAGAATTTACATGTGCGGATAGAAGAAACAGTTTTGTCTGAAGGATTTACAAAATTGATTATCATTACACGTAACAAAACAGGTCACTTGAATGGCGAGGAGTGACAGCATTCACAAATATTTCCATTCATTTATCCATATATACAGACGGCATCATCTGAACCATACTCCACAATGTAAGAGTACATCAAACTAGTATTCCTCAGAAACATGTTGTGGTTGAATTTTTTTTTATCTCTCTCTCACACTCACAAAAACACACATTTTCCTGAGTTCAATAAAGATGCAGCTGAGCCAAATACCTGATGTAACACTTAGATGCTATTTTCTGGGCATTCAGTCAGTTGCAGTCACACAGTTACACAGGATGTTTCAACATTTCTTCAAACATCTGGTCTACAATTTTGATGGTCATGCAATTTTTGAATAGTCTCCTTTTAAAAATGACCCACCTGGCAAATGTAGTAAAGGTTTCCTGGAAGATAAGTATGCTTTTTTAAATGATCTTAATCACAGAAGTTTATACTCAGTGGTCAAGAGGCTCCAAAAAGCAAACTGCAAATGAACGATTAATTGATCACGGCAAATTGCGAATAATCAAAACGGCGGATGTCAAATGCGCGAATGCGAAGGGATTACTGTATACATGTATTAAAGCATAAATTGTTTATAGGTTTCACTTGTGTAATAAATTATGGCAACACATACTATTTATCGATCTTTTAATTGCTTGAGTGAAACTTGTACATTTGTTTGTTTCTCTTTTTTTTGGTTCATGGGTTTTTCAGATACTTTTGTGACGGGTCTTTTGTGACGGGTCTTCTCCATACATGTAAATACGGTGGCCCCTAGAGACAAAACACACACAAAAGAAAAAGCAGAAACAAAATGAAAATGCGCAGCAAATTAAAAAAACACACAAAAGAAAAAGCAGAAACAAAATGAAAATGCGCAGCAAATTAAAAAAAAACACACAAAAGAAAAAGCAGAAACAAAATGAAAATGCGCAGCAAATTAAAAAAAACACACGCAAAAGAAAAAGCAGAAACAGAAACAGCAGGCTTCTATTGTTTTTTTTTTTGTTTTTTTTTCAAGCAGGGAAACATGCCTCTGTGAAGTTTCTTATTTACTCAAGTGATCTGAATTTCCTAGTTCAATTTTTATCAGATTATTCAAGTCAGCCTATGTGTTTCTATGATGCTTCAAAAACATTATTTCTCTGTTCACGCTCCACTTCATCTGTCAATGAATTCAACGATCTTATCAGATGTCCAGCCGCCATGTTTCAAACGATCTAAACGTAATACGCTTCCGCCAATCCCCGCCTTGACGCAATGATTGCCGTAGGGAGGGCGTTGTGGAATGCATTTTCAAAGCCGCATTGAATTTTGCTACAAATATCCCACGGCGTCATGATGAAAATGCAATCGTAAGTGTCCTAACTGTTAGTCTAAATGCATTTAGGACAAATAACATTTAAATGATAATTTTGCTACTGTTTCTGCTTGGACGGACACGTTACACATATCAAATCAATTTGGGTTATACATTTTCTTTTTAATTTTGCTGTTTATAAAGCATTAAAATAGAATGCACTTTACAACTTAAGACTACTGTTGGAAATGGCAAATGTAAATAATATAATTTAATTTTCAATTTCATTCTGCACCAAATTTTGCACGTGTGGAGGTGATGGAAAATGTAAATTTAAATACAGAATTACATTGCCATTTTGAATATTGCGTTGCCATTTTGAATATTGCATTGTCATATTGTATATTGTATTGCCATTTTGCATATTGCATTGCAAATTGAATTTTGCTACACATATGCTTCCATACACCAGGGGTAGCCAATCTTATCCGCAAAGGGCCGGTGTGTATGCAGGTTTTCGCTGCAACTCCCTAATTAGATTACTAATTAGAAGACTGATTGGCTGAAAGAGTCCTCACACCTGGGTTTGGACAGCTGACCTACAGGTTATCCCAAAAACCTGCATACACACCGGCCCTTTGCGGATAAGATTGGCTACCCCTGCCCTACACATACCGCTGACTCATTAAGACAGTTAAGACAACCTTTTGTGACTTGCGTTGGCGCAAATTCCCCTTTCCGCTGTCAAAATAGCAAAAGGGATTTGGACACGCCCATAAGTGTAAGTTACGCCTTGCATTAGATCATAAAAATAGAGCCCCATGTGTTGTTGCTGCTGAACACTGGAGGTAGAGTTGCCACCCATCCCATATATTATGAGATTGTCCCATTTTGAAAAATAACATCCAGTACAGTGGTACCTCAGTACTCGAACTCAGATTTCATAAAAGTCGAACCAACCAGTTTGAAGAAAAATGACCTAGAATTTGATCTGAATCTCAGAAGTTGAACCGTGAACGCTGACCTAAGAACTTGTACACGCGGGGAAATGAGTCACACTGCATGTCTCTCAGTGGAAACTAAGGGTGACGCTTCAGTCGCTGTGATAGCATTGTTTGTTGGTGATTTTAATTGAAAATATCACCGCAGCGCATGCTGAAGGTCACAGCCTGATGATGCCGACAGGACCACATCATCTGCAAAAAGCAAAGATGCAATCCAGAGGCCCCTGAACTGGTCCCCCTCCGGCTCTTGGCTACCCCTAGAGATTCTGTCCAAAAAAGTTTTGAACAGGCTCCGCCAGAGCTGCCTAACACCCACCAGGAATGAGTGACTTACTGCTTGCATTTTGAACCAAGCTTTTGCTCCGTTTGAGCTTGATGGCTCGCAACAACGGACCCCCCCCCTAGGGACATGGTCATATGCCTTTTCCAAATCAAGAACACAAATGTAGGCTGGTTGGGCAAACTCCCCCAAACCCTCCAGTAACCTTGTGAGGGTGAAAAGTTGATCCAGTGTTTCGTGACCAGGACAATCCTCATTGTTCCTCCTCGATCTGAAGTTCGACCAGTGGACGGACCCTCCTCTCCAGTACCCTGGCATAGACTTTTCCAGGGAGGCTGAAGAGTGTGATCACCCTGAAGCTGGAACACATTCTCCGGTCCCCTTTCTTAAACATTAGGACCACCCCCCCAATCTGCCAATCCAAAGGCACTGTAATTGATTTAATCGTGAATGAAATAACAGCAGTGACAGCACTGATGGCATTTAGAGGTTATGTTCCAATGGCTGTTCCAGAGAAATCTCTAGACCTGCTCCACACATGATCACCAAAGGAGGCATGTGGCTTCCTTCCTGAAACACTGGTCAGTCCAGCATTTAGGGTCACTCCCTCCTCATGTGTCACCAAAGGCATCTGCCACAAGTCAAGTGGCTTTTATTGTAATTTCAATCATATACGGTGATACAGTACATAGTGAAATCAGACAACATTCCTCCTAACACTACATCAACCCAGGACTACATAAAGTGCAAGTGTGCAAAATGTGCAAACATTGCAAAAACCCATACTGGATGAGTAAAAGTACTGGGTGTTTTTCACTAACCTGATTTATAAAAAACATTTTTTAAAGATTCTAAATTACCAACATAAATTAAACTGATTATTGAAATAGGTATTTAAAATAAATTACCTGATTCTTCAATGCAACTGTCATAGTGTTTGCTGCTGTGTATTCTGCCAAACAAGCTGACCCTGAAATATCTCTTCATGCATTTCCTCATGAAGCCAGCAGGGGGCAGCTGCAGCATTACTAAATGCTAAATAAAGCACAATGCTAAATACTCTAAAGCACAAATTGGACTTTTCCACTGCTGTGAATCTGTCCCAAGAGGAGGAAGATGAACCTCTGTCTCAGTGTTAGTGATTGTAAGGCCATTTCCTCTGCAATTTGGCTCAGTAATACAGCTGGTTCTACAAGTCTTTGAAGGTGAAGATGCTGGAATGGAAGGGCGTTTTCCTGTTATACATATATTATGTCTGAGGTGAGACTCCTTAAAAGTATCAAACAGTTTTGAAAGTACTGATTCCCAGTTCTGATTTCCAAAGTGAGTAGCAAATCATTAAACATTTGTTTTGCTTTTCAGCTGAACTACATAAATCACTCCTACCAATAAGCACAAATAGGAGCAGTAAAGCTTAGAAAGTTTTTTTTTTTTAATACTGGAATCACAAACACAACTGACAGAAAGCAGTTTTTTTTTTTTAAACACTTTTTTTTACAAAACATCTGCAAGGCTTTGCTATTATACTTGTGTATTTCCTAAAATTCTGGATCCCAAAATGTTTGGTGAAAGAGTTTGTAGAAGGAAGGCATTCATTTATCATCAATTTATCATCATAAATTGTCAGATTCAAAGCCTGCTCCTCCCAAAATGGCATTCATTTGACACCACACATACAAGCTTAGTTTTGTAAAAACATAACTATTCCTAACACAATGATATGCGGTCCAATCATTACACCTGCACTATTGGACTGCATATCACAGAGCTCCAAGGTTCCACATGAACATTAAACTCAGGAATAGACTTTACACTGTGCTTTTCCACACCAGGCCCTGTAGCTTCCAGTGCATTTTGATTAGCACTTAAGTGACCCCTGAAACACAAGCTGTGGTAACTCTGTGCCCTATTAATTACATCAGTGGAGTAAAAATACAGGAGGGACAGGGTTTAATCCCTCTGTTTCACATACAAGCTATGAAATGAACTGTAAACAGGGAGAAGTTTTAATGCAACTTAAATGCAGCAATTGAAATTGACTTCCATCTCCTGACTACAAACAACAAACACGCATACAAACATCAAACACGGATGGATGATAAAAATGAAAACTTGTCTTCATCCTTCCTCAAGGCCCTTTGGCTTGGATTTCCACAGTGTAATGAACTTCATCAGGTTACTTCCAGTGTCCCAGGAGGCTTTTAAGGCTTCCAGTTTGTGACTTCACATTTCAGTAGAATGACTGAGAGACTCCATGTAGCCATCCAAGATTCAAACCAGCAATGTTCTGGCCAAGTTGGTAAAATCCCCCCCAGCCCAATTATGTGGGTTCAGCCCTATACCCTATCTCTGATGTGTTGTTGGAACTACTCCTAGAAATTAATTTTAATAAATAAATAATTATTAAAAACAATCTGGGATTCTGTGTACATCTGATTGTACCAACCAACCCAATGTAATAAAATTTTTAGCCCTAAAAAGAGTTTTTTTTTTTTTTTTTTTTTTACTTTTCTATAAAGAAATTTCTAGGAGGTACGGTCAATTGTCATAATAAATAGTTATATCATAGAAATTAAACATGTAATACATACTGAACACATTCTATCTTTGCATTTGAGCCCTACTAATATATATTTATATATTTCTTTTTTTTCATATGAAGTGAAACCTACCCAGAAGATTTAGTTTTGGGCACAGATTCCCCCTTATCTTAGGTATACAACCAGCTCCCACATGCACCACAAGTATCACAAACAATACACATCACTTGCTACTATAAAACGGAGCAGTGTTTCATTAAATGAGATGAAGAGTCTTTCCATTCTATTTCTGTCCACATCACCTTGTCATGAGCTGCTTGCCATTCCTAGCACCATGTCCCTCTGGTTCAACAATACTGAACCTCAAACTTAAAAAAAAAAAAATAAACATTTTTTTACATTCAACACTAACATAGGTAGATGAGGCACGTGCCATGATGTTCATTCAGTCTGAAGGATTCTAGTCCAGAGGCCCTTTTACCTTGTGATCTAGGGGAATTCTATTTGGTGATTTTCAATATTTTTCTTCTTTAATAACCAGGGGGAAAGTCACACACTTACCCAGAGGGTATACCAGGCATGTCCTTCACAGGTGTACTGCACCTGCCCCCATTTGTTCTTGACCAATAAGGCTTCTCCTCTATCACATTTGGGTAACCAATCCCAGAGCAGTTTACTGCACAATAATGGAATTCAGTAAACAATTCATACAAAATACCTAAAACCCTGAATACAACAAAATGCTAATACATTACTTGAATTAGATAAATTAGTTGAAGACAAAAAAATGTGACAGTTATGTTTTGAAACATTCACATTGATAACTGACCTGCATAAATAAGTGAGACGGACATGCTGTAAAGGCACTTTCCCCTCTGAAGTTTCCAGAACATTCTAGATGACAACAGTCATTAAACTGTCTGAATAAGACCTCACTATGCAAATTGCTGGATTGGGCTTCAAAAGGAAATATTACATAAAATATTGCATCAAAATTTGCCAATTACATGTAGTGTACATGCAGTGTAAAATTAAAGATCTAAGAAACTGCTTGGCAGACATCCATGCCCCAGATTTACAGCTTACTTTGTCATACTTTTACACAGCTATACACAGAAGCACTTTTAGTGAAGGAATTCAGGCGATGTTCTAAGTTTTCCCCATCAGGAATTCACTAAATAAATTAAATTTTCTAAAATTTAAATCGCTAACCTACCGCACCTGTTACATACTATGTACTCTGTACATAATTATAGTTAAAATGAAAATGAGAATTGCTTTACTAAACGGTTGCATGTAAAAACATTTTCTTTCATATTCTGGTGTAAATTGCTGTACAGCAGCGTTGTTATATTGTCATGGCAGATGGAGGTACTGTGTAAGGTTACAGGAGAAACAGGTCTCAAGTCTCTTACAGATCAGTGTGCTTAAAGGGACTCCATTAGAGAAGAAGTGATTGTGATTAGCGTGATGCTAACAATGACTTCAGAGGAGAAGTGGATGTGCTTTTTATAACACTAACATTTTCTCACAGGAAGGAGAGGTTGTGCTTACTGCAATGCTAACAGCCCTCTTGAAGATGAGTAGCACGTGCTTTTTAAGATGCTAACAGTGTTCCCACAGGAAGAGAAGGCTGTGTTTAGCGTGATGCTAATAGGCCTCTCACAGGAAAGGGGTAATACGTTTAGCGATAAGGTTTCCAGAGCTCTGACAGGAAGGTAAGCATGTCCTTTTTGGAATGCTACCCAGTGCTAGTATTGATTGACGGAAGACCACTCAATAAGTAAAAAAATAAAAAATAAAAATAAAAAATAGTCGCTTCAGTCTTTTGTTATGCTGTTAAAACATTTTTGTTATTGTTATTCTTTCATTTTTTTTCTTGCAAACAGCTTTTGGTCTTAGTAAAAATTGGTAAAAGGATGTAAATTTCAGCAACCGTCCCCACGAAATATGGCACATTCGGCACAATTCACCCCGAGAATGTCACTAACATTTAGCTTTACATGGAAAAACAGTGACTATGTTTCTTTCTTCAAATCAATTTACATATACCAAGTCAAATTTAAGTGTTACTGTGTAGTAATAGATCTCACCAGATGGGGGCAGCACATATGGCCAGGAGGAGAAAGACAGTGATGGAGTGAGATGCAGACAGCTGGTTGACGCCTGATGTAATGCGATTCCCATGGCCCTGATTGGGCCTGGTCCACTTAGCTCCAGTCCTGTCCCTGACACGGGGAGGTTTATTTGGACTGGGTGGGTTGCGGGCAGGTTTACTATAAGGTGGAGAGGGAGGCCCAGAACCAGGCTCATCGCTATACCTGTCCCCACCATCTCCACCCCCTGACCCACTCCCTTCTTCACCTGTAGCAAGGGAGAGAGGGAGGTCAAAGGTTAAACTGAGTGTGTTTTCCAAGGTTGACATACATGCATTTGTGTTTGCAATGGTCATACATGGATGCATCTGCAAAGCTGAAGCATGTTTATGTGTGTTTAGGGTTTGGGTTTGTGGATGTATTACTCACTGTCCATAAAATCACTGTCCTGTCCAGCCTGGGCCTGTCTTAGCCTGTTGGTAGCAACACGGAGTTCCATAATCAGCTGCCGTGTCCTCACATCTGGTCGCGCAATATCCACTTCTACCTCCGGGTTGTTAATCTGACTGACCAGCCCATCCCTGGTCACATCTGGGAGGTACCTGTGAAAACACCTCATGCTTTAAAAGTCTCACTCACAAGCACATCCAAGAATCATGAATAGTGAAGCCAAAGGAACATTGGACCTTAAAATGTGTAAGTAATAGAGGTGGAAATCATTGGCACCAAGGAAATTTGATTCAATTAATGATCGAGGGAACGATTTGATGCATCGGAAATAACCAATATGTCATCTCTAAGGCTAACATTACTTTTTACTTAGCTAGCTAATTAGCTACCTCAGAGTCTTGATCATGGCCACAATAGCTTGAAAAAAGAATGACTTTTTGAGCTGCAAAACAGAGGCATTCAATAATTATTATTATTATTATCATTAATTATCATTAATCATCATCATCATCATTATTATTATTATTAACCTTTATTGTCCCTCATGAGGAAATTCTTTTTACGCCTCCCTCAATGAGCCACACGCTGCCCCCCAAATGCAATCATAAGGTAAAGATTCTTAACAAAGCATTCTGTGGTACAAAACAAGGGCGAGCTTCCCAATGCATTGTAGTACAAAGATCAAATAGCTCTTCCCTTATGAAGATTAATGAACCTTTCCCTGACATCCTACTTTTTGGAAATTCACGTGCTACTGTGTCTGTGACTGCAGCATGTGTATGCCAGGGCATGCAGTATGGAAGTAGGAGTATCTTTATTTTACCACCAAGAATCAATTTTGAAAGAAACCTTATGAGCCTCCTAATGAAGTTCACTACACTGAAATTCGAAAAAAAAGAGGATGACAGATCGAGGCATTGAATCTCCAGATTATTAATCAATTTATCACGATGCATCAAGACATCTTTATACCCTTAGTAAGTAAGTGGAAGAAAGAAGGGAACATTGTCTTAATGCAGTGTTTTCCAATCAGGTCCTTTGGGACCCACAGACAGTCCATGTTTTTGCTCCCTCCCAGCTCCCTATCCAAAGCAAAAATGTGGACTGTCTGTGGGTCCCGGACGACCAGGCTGGGAAACACTGCCTTTATGTGAGACTAACCTCCCTATGCTGAGGTCTTTTTCTTTGCTCTTTCCTTCTCCCCTATTTACTATCTCTTCTCCTCCACTGTCTTTCTTACCGTCCTCTTGCCTGCCCATTCCAGCATTTGTCCTCATTTGTTACATCAGCAGCCAGGTTGTCATCGTTGCAGAGTGTGTGTGGAAGTGACACCCAGAAGCCCTTCATAGGACGCAGGCGTTCTTTCAGGTCCAGTACCTAGGGCGGGGGGTTACACAGATGTGATTCAAGGGCGGAGGGTAGGAAAGACCGCATTAAATTAATGGCACCTGATAAGTGCATGGGGGAAACTAGCAGCACTGCAAAAGTATTGTAAAAGCATGGACTAGAGTACACGATAATCAAAAATTGTCATCCACCATATGTAATTCTAATAAAAAAAGAAGATTAAAAGCAACCTAATAACGCCAAGATATTTTAGGTAGACCACTGCTTACAGAATTGGAGTTCGCTTAAACCAGTGAGCCTAAGGCCTAAGACCCCTTAAAACCGCTGCACCTCAATGTGAGACTTCTTCATACTGCTACAGGGAAAAAACAGTATTATGAGTGCATAAACAAATTACTCATATAAGATTAAAGTAAAAGGAAGTGTGGCCTTTTCCTCACCAGACGGTCCAGGTTGGTGCCAGCAGCCGTAGTGGGTTTCTCTTCAGGGCTATATGTGCGAAATGGCCTCCTATTGCCCCCTTGCTCCCTGGGGGAGCGCCGTGACCGGCTGGGGGCGGGACGGGGGCTGCCACATCCCTGGAACACCTGGAGAAAGAGGAGACCAAGCCACGGTGCCCATTGTATGTTATCCATTGATAGGGTCTACAAGACACTCTAGTGAAGTCGTATTTCATTCTACAAACAAGATAATCAGCGTCCACGCACAAGGTGAATATTTAATTTGCTGTGGTTCTCACAGGAATATTCAGCATCCAAGACTTCACAGTCATCTGCCTCCATGTCACCAATCACCACTTTGCATTGTTCCACACCTCACTTCCTTCTCCTCGTCCCACATCCTCATTCCCTTATAATCAGAATTTTCGTAACACTTTACTTGATGGGGCACAAATAATATAGTATTATGTTATTACTTATGTATTAACTACAAACTAAGTCTTACATACTGATCACTTGCTCATTCATCATTAATGAATCTTGACATCTTATCTCAAGTAATTACTGTATTTGTTACTATATCTGTTATTTCAGTAATGCTTTACATTAAATGGAACCACATAATACCTTTATAATGCATTCGTAGAACATTCATTGCACCTTCATAATGCATTCATAGAACATTCATAAGCAGCGTGTAAGTATACCTTAACGTCATATGATAATAAACATTATAATCGTATAATTGTATAATGTTTGCTATTAATGTATATGAAAGCTGCTAAGGTATACTTATGTGCTGGTAATTAATGTTATATGAATGCATAATTAATGCATTATGAAGGTGCAGTTAATATAAAGCATTACCATTAATTCTGTAAACCTTTGTAAACTACAGGAGGAACAAACAACAACATACGTTACACTGATCTCATGTTTGTTCTTCATGAATGAATCACGGTACATCTTTTTTCTCAAATATTTCCTACTATATCTCTTAATTCTGTAAAACAATGAAAGGAACAAGTAACGCAAAACACAAGTAAAATACTGAACAAGTGAACCACGGAAGGAACAAATGAAAGAAGTACTATGGAACTACTTAAGGAAGAAGTAATGAATAATACAAGTGAAACACTGATCTCACGTTTGTCTGTTTTGCCCACTCTCTCGACTCAGTGCCTGTTACGATCCAGTCTAGGGTTGCTCACCTTGGTGGAGGTGGTGACACTGTTCTCCTGCATGTGCATTATGGCCTCAGAAACCTTGACTGCAATGGAATCAGCTGCCAACTCCATGTTGAATGGCCCCTCTAGCTTCTCTGATACTTGGAGCAGAGCATCTGAGGGTAGTAGGTGGGGTTGACAGGGAGAGGTGAGGTAAGAAAGACCCTGGAAATGGAAAAACTTGTATCCAGAGTTCAACAAAAATGCATTTAGGCAAAAATGAAATGCATTAGTAAGGAAGCTCTTGAGACTACAGGCCAAATGAGGGACCATCTAGACACTCACCAATGAAGTTGTTCCATTCACTGTCCAGGTCAGCCTGGTTAGCCAAACAACCTTTCATCACATTGAGGCAGAATGAGTGGCATGGGCGCAGGGTGGGCATGCCGCGGCACAAAGGGCAGTACCACTGTCGCATTAGGGCCCGAAGACACTCTCCACCCACGTTCAGCTACAGGGTCAAGTCAGCAGGAGATAGTGGACACAGGTCAACATTAAATCCAAAAAAGGTCAAAAGTAGGTACTGGGAAGAGACACAGATATGCAAGTATGTACACACATATTCACCTTTGATGCCTTGTTAATAATGTCACGTCCTGTAGCCAGTCCCTGAACTAGTGCCCTGGCAGCTATGAATGCCCTTGACACCTGAGAGAAAAGAGGTGAGAGGAGTTCAGTTAAAGTTATGAGAAAATGACTGTGTGTACATAGTCTATGCTGGTAAAATAAGTGAACCTCTACAGTGCCTGACAAAAGTCTTGTCACTTAACCAAGTTGTAGGAACAACAAA